TCGTCCAGGAAGAGATCACTGCCCAGTTTCAGGGACCCCTGGGAACCCACTTCCCCCAGCCGTATCCTTGAGTTGTCATCTCCCCTGTGGGCACATCGGGAGTGGTGGCCTTGGCCACTTCGTGAGCCGGGCACGTCCACGTGAGGCTTGCCGGACACCGGCGCTGACATGGTCCCCTCTGCAGATTATCGGGGTGGACCCTGAAGGCTCCATCCTCGCAGAGCCCGAGGAGCTGAACCAGACGGAGCTGACAGCCTATGAGGTGGAAGGCATCGGCTATGACTTCATCCCCACGGTGCTGGACCGGACGGTAGGTGGGGCCGCGGTGACCGTCGGCAGCCCTTCGGTCTCGCCTGTTAGCCAGCTCTCCCATCTGCACGCCCGCTGAGCACCAGAGCCGGCCTGGCTGTCCTCCTGAGGGGTCAGGAACGTGAGCCTCTACAGGACGAACAGTCACAAAGGTCACGGCCAGCTAACACGGGGCTAACACAGTACCCCGCCGGGCAGAGCCGCCTAGGCCCAGCTTTGGCTGGTGTGCACAGACCAGACCCCTGCCAGGGTCGGGGGAGCTCGGCAGAGGCCGTCTGGTTGTGGACACGCCGTGGGGCCACCACCCACACTGTGCAGCTTCTGCGTCCTGCCCGCAGGTGGTGGACAAGTGGTTTAAGAGCAGCGACGAGGAGTCCTTCGCTTTCGCGCGCATGCTGATCGCACAGGAGGGGCTGCTATGCGGTGAGTGGCAGGCAGGCTGCCCGGGGCACATGGGCTCCCAGCCCAGATGCGTGGCCGTCGCCCTCACACGGAGGCTGCGTGGCAGCCGTGACCGCGCTCTCCGGGCGCCATCCGCCTACTCGGGCCCTGGAGGAGGTCAGCCTGCCTGTCCTCCTGACGGGCGTGTCTCTCCACACTGTGGCCGGAGCTCTGGGTCACTATTCTGGGGGTCTTGGGGTCCCTGCAGCCCATGTGCTTTGTTTTCTGTGTTTGATGGCCTCGCTGAGAACCCGAGAAGGGGAGGAGCTTGAGATGCAAGGGGCTGGGGACAGGGGAGCCCTGAGAGCGTGACCAGCGAAGTCGGCAGTGGGGGCCAGTGGCCTTGGGAAGTGTCCGCGCAGCACTGCCGTCATGCACTTGTGTTTGCGGCCAGAGCTCTCAGGACACTTGGTTTTTATAATCAAGACCAGCCTTGTCCTTGGGGTGGGGGCTCCCCATTGATGGGGGTCTGAGCCAGGACTGGGTACCAGGAGAGGCTGTGGTGTCCATCACCAGGGTCTCCACGGTCAGGAGATGGGACAACGCTTCTGCCAGCTCACTTTCCTCTGGGAGGCCCGAGGCCTGTCCAGGGGGGACGAGGGAAATGGCCTGACAGGTCTCAGGGGACTTACGTGCAGAGAAGGGACACGCACTGCACACCCACGTGAGAACTCCTCTGGGGAAATAACACGCAGTCATTTGAAACATGCCTGCCCTCTGTCACATCACGTTGGGGATGGGGACAGAGGAAATGGAAGGAAATGGGTCCTCAGCGCGGCTGGGTCCCGAGCCCCAACTTAGAGATTGGAAGCAAGCCCCTTTTGACTGAAAAGGAATTTCCAAAATGTCCTGAGAAGGAAGTTTTCTCTTCACAATCGATGGAGTTGGTGTCAAGTCTGCCCTGGTCCCCATTTTCAGCGAGACAAGTCTGAGCATTCAGTGCTGGAAAGGGGGCCCGTTGCCTGCAGGGTCCACTCTTGGCAACCACATCGCACCCCCATGAACTCAGCCCAGAGGGGCCCTGGGGGCGAGGTGAGCACGGCCACCTCTAAGCATCCGTCCCTCTGGCTCTGACTCGGGACAGCTCTTTGTGAAGTGGGAACTGCGTCACCTGCCTTGGGGGTGGCTGTGAGTGGTCAGTGGCATGAGACCGCGCCGGGGCTCCCTCAGCGAGGCTGTCCCTGTGCTTGGACTCGGTCTCGGGGTTCGCATGGGGGTCAGGCCCACAGTGGCACTTTCCAGCACAGCCCCCGCCCTGGCTGAGAGAAACTCCATTTGCTCGGGGTCCTTGTGTTTCCGTGGTGGGGGTTCAGTTATGAAACTGAGCAGGCAGGACACTCAGTGGTGCAACAGAATGGGGGTGGACGGTGAGAAGTGGGGGTGCTCCCAGCACCCTGAATCTAGCTCCTCCCCCCAGAGGCAGCCACTGTTGGTTTCCAGCAGATCCCGCCAGAACCTTCAGCGTGCGTTCGTGCTACCCCTCTCTCTCCCCGTCCCTCTGTCCCCCCCGCGGCTGACTCTGGCCCTCTCCGTAGGTGGCAGTTCGGGCAGCGCAATGTCTGTGGCCGTGAAGGCTGCCCAGGAGCTGCGGGAGGGCCAGCGCTGTGTGGTGGTTCTGCCCGACTCTGTCCGGAACTACATGTAAGAAGCCTTCCTCCTGTCCCTCTGCTGGCACCTCCTCGTGTGCCGCTGGGCAGCCGCTGCCAGCGGGGGGTGAGGACACAGCGCCTAAGGCGCCTCGGCCCCTCGGCCCCACAGCCCCGCCGCGTCACCCACACTGGCTGGGCGCTCCCGCCTGCGGTCAGGCGGCCCTCAGGACTTGCTGTGATATGTCTGACTGGTGGCCTCGGGCCTTCTGGTCTGATCTGTGCACTTTGTGTCCTGACTTTCCAGACCCCAGACCCAGCTCCCCACATGGCAGCTTCCAGCCTCCTGCTTTGACCGCCCGTCCCCTGGGGGGGTCACCAGTTGCTCTGCAGCAGGCTTCTGGGGGCGGGGGCGGGGACCTAAAGACTCCCCCACTGTACCCTCCAGGGCCGGGGGCTACAGAGGTTATACATCTCTGCTGAGCTCAGACACCCCTGGTGGGCACCCTACGTTGGGGTTCCAGGTGTGGGGTGGCACGACTAGGTGCCCACTGCTAAGGTGCCCCACTCCGTGTGAGAACACCATCTCCCCGTGTGCTGGGCCGGCCTCCTGTGCCTGGACACACGTGTGTGAGGGAGCTGTGCTGGCGCAGGCATGGCAGTCACGGCATTGGGCCATCTCCTCCCCGCATCCTTCATCCTCAGTCCACCGTTTCAGGGCAGGTTCCCGGCAGCCACTTAGGCCTGACCTGGTGGCCTTGACCCCGGGGGGCTGACGGCAAAGGTCCCAGGTCAGAACCTTCTGTGCCTGAGCACGTTCGGCCCTGGTGGGCCATGGGCCCCCGTGACCCCAGTCCCATGGGGTCTCTCAGCCTCTTCCTGGGGCTGCAGCCGGCCACTCGGGCTCTGCTGGTCCCGCAGGGTCTGGGCGGGGGGGTGGCACAGGCTTCCTGTGAGAAGTGAGCCCCTCGGTGTGGGGTGTGGGCAGAGGCTGGCGGAGTCCCCTGCCTGGCCGTGCTGACCTCCTGGCGCCTGCAGGTCCAAGTTCCTGAGTGACAGGTGGATGCTTCAGAAAGGCTTCCTGAAGGAGGAGGACCTCACGGTGAAGAAGCCCTGGTGAGGACGACGTCCGGGCCACCCGCACCCTGCCCCACGCCTCCCCGTGTGAGCGTTTGTCCTCAACGCCCGTCTCCCGGCTGCCTGCCCTCTGTTCCCTCAGGTGGTGGCACCTCAGAGTCCGGGAGCTGAGCCTGTCGGCCCCGCTGACAGTGCTGCCCACGGTCACCTGTGAGCACACCATCCAGATTCTGCGGGAGAAGGGCTTCGACCAGGCGCCTGTGGTGGATGAATCAGGGTCAGTCTCGGCCACACCCCAGGACAGGGCCACCGAGGGGACCCCACAGCTGGCCAGCTGGCCTTGGTCACTGCATAGGAATGTCCAGAGCACTGGATGGCCTGTTGTACGTTGTGTTCTGAGCACCAGCCAGGGCGGGGCAGGCCATATTAACCCTTTGGGTCTTCACACTTGTGTCCCACCCACATCACCTTCAGTGTGGTCACGGGAGGCCGGTGGCAGCAAGTGGCCTTGCTCTGAGGGCATGTCTAACAGCAGAAGGCACAGCCCGCATGCCCCAGTGACCAACCGTCCAGGTTCTCCTAGGACTGTCCCATTTCTAGCACCCGAAGTCCCATGCCCCAGGATACTTCTACTGGTCACCTATGACACCTGTCAGACAGACTCATTGCTTTATTGACGGGCAGGTCCATGGCAGGGCATTTGGTCACCACTGCCTCCCTACCACGTGT